GCATGATTATATTGAGAAACTTAACATGCAGGCAATACTGAATGCCTCTGCCATGCACGATGAGTTTGTCAAGGACCTCCTGGTTTCATTTGGAAAGGTGACTGCCACAACTGCATATAAACAATAATAAAATGTCAGCTTTTACGCAAGCCCTTTTACAATTTTCTAAGAAGTGCTTAGAGGGGAGTGATTCCTTTCCCTTTCCAGATACACATCCTGGTCCATGAGATGATCCTTATTGAGGTGTGGAAGAAAAAAGTGTTTCCCATCTTATGCCAGCTGGAGGATTTCAATCCAGAGAAGACTTTTCATCTTTACATGGTGGTGAGTGTTAAATGAGATGTTAAATGAGCAGCTCACATTGCTCATGTTTCATGTGTTCTGTTATGACTCCTTTTTAGATCCATCATGAAGCCACCATCATAAATCTACTTGAAACCATAATGTTTCACAAGGTCAGTAAGAACTCAAATAATCCCTACATATCTTAAAACATTTCACACACCAAGAAAGCACGGACTGTCATTCTCTGAGAACATAAATTGTAGGGATGGGTACCGGTGTCCGGTGCCATGATGGCACCGGTTCTGACATAAACGGTAGTAACCAGACCGAAAAGCAGCGCACATTTCGGTGCTTTATTTCGGTGCTTTTTTTTCCTGAGCTGTGATACACTTCTAGCCAATCATTTTACGTTTCCGAGGATAGTAGGCGGGTCCAGGTACGTACGTTCTTTTAGAGCAGAGCTACAGATTAAAAATGTCCAAGGCGAAGCTGTCAAAAGTCTGGCTGTACTTCACAGCAAAATATGCAAACTCAGCAGCCTGCAACAAGTGCTTTAAGCTGATACTGTGATACTGTCAAAGGAGGTAACACCTCAAATCCGATGAAACACCTGGCGACGCATAGCGTTTTTTTTAAAAGCCCAGAAATGCGCCATATGATAGCTTGCTGCGAGACCTCACACCAAGCGCATCTACTGTGCATGGGTTGCCTGTTATCGGACCCGGAGTTAGCGGGTCACGAAGAGTAGAGTCCTGGCCCCTAGCCCTGCCAGTGTAGCAGAAATGATGAGGATGATGATGGCAGCAGCAGCCGTTCTTCTCTGGGCGAGTACCTTAATGTTGTTCGTGTGTAATTTACGTTGAGTAGGCTAACCACGTTATTACATTAATGCATGTAAGGTGAACTAGCAAACATCATCATAGCTACATGCGGCTGTCTTCTTGTTTGATGGCAGATACTCCCTTCACCCTGGCCAAAAAGGCTAAAATGACCAAAGAAAAAGTGGAAAACAGCTAAACATGAGAGGTTTTGGACAAAGTTTGTGTTTTTTCCATTAATTAAGCACTGCTTCCAGCCAAGAGTGATACCATATATGCCCCATAGCTGCAGAAAAGGCTAACACCGTTATCTTTTTACAAAAAACCAGCTGAACATGAGAGGTTTTTGGACAAAGTTTGTGTTCTCCATTCTTTAAGCACCGGTTTGAGCACCGTTTGAGCACCGGCACCATTTCAAAAGTACCGATTTGGCACCGGTATCGGATAAAACCTAAACGATACCCATTCCTAATAAATTGTAAATTAAGCATTATGGCAAGTGTTCAAGCGGTTGTGTCTTGTTATGCAGGATTCATGTGATGCAGCAGATGACTCTCTTCTTGACTTGGTGGATTACTGCCATCGAAAACTCACCCTGCTGGCGAGTGAAGCGATTAAGGATGTTGCTGTGACATATGACCAACACAAACAGACATCCTCTCTAGAGGTGAGAATGTATGTTTTGTTTTTGGTTTGACACATTCGCCGAAGTCTGTCGCAAACTTTTGAACGCTTTGTTTTGTTTCTTGAAGGAGCTGCAGGTGCAGAGTGCAGCTTTGGAGTTTGAAATCTCTCTGAAAGCCGTGTCAGTGCTGCGCTACATTACAGACCACGCAGACAGGTATGGCGCCCTGGAATTCACTTGGTTATGTTCTAGTGGAAGTATACTCAGTATTACACTGAGAAACACGCTGCAGCTGACCAAAGGAAAGTGTTTCTTTGCAGCATCAGCATTATCAGTCGAATGCTGTGCACCCATAACCTTCCTTGTGTACTGGTTCAGCTGATTGACCACTGCCCCTGGAGTCGCTGCAGAGAAGGTATCACCTCAAACATGAGATTGGTGTTGATCTACTAATCTATATCACTGGTAAAAAAAACAAACAAAAAAAAACAAAACTTTAAAGGCTTCTAAAAGCTACCCAAGCCAGGAAGCTTACCTTTCACACCTGCTAAAGTTTCTTACTATTCAATAACCTACTCATTGTCTCCCACTGTAGGTAACGTGCAAAAGCACATTGATGGCAAGTGGCAGACGATACCTGTAGAGGATCATTTAAAAATGAACAAACTGGACGGTCAGGTCTGGCTTTCCCTTTACAATCTGCTGCTAAAAGAAGAATTCCAGAGAAAATACAACTTCAACAGTTTCAACAAGAGCCAGCTTCTGAAGGTATACAGTGGATGATTGTTTTATTATAACTTTAGATGCACTGATCATGCAGAGTTGTTGTCATTCATTGCCTGTGCTGATATTAAATTGGATCAACTCGTCCGTCCAAATGGCTGCTGGATAGTAGCTGTAATCTGGTGTTTGGCAAGTGTGTGAGTGCCGGGTTATTGTCCTCCAGCATCATATCTCATCTCCTCCCTTGTTAGAGCACACATTCAGTTTCCAAGGGTTGTTTTGACCAAGATGTTTCCTCCTATTATGAGCTTTCTCATCCTCTTCCTGCTCCATTAATTACATAACCAGCCAGCCATGTGCATCCTCCTGTAATCACATTTTATTCTTATGCAGTCTGTGTAAACTGATGATTCATACATTGTTATTCTTGCTTCACTGTATTTGTTGTCATTCATGTGCCACAGCTCAGAGGTTTCTTGACTGATGTCTTGATTGATCAGCTGCCAAATCTGGTGGATCTGCAGCGTTTCCTGGCTCATCTTGCTGTTTCAGATCCAGCCCCTCCAAAAAAAGAGCTGATTTTGGAGCAGGTGCAGTCACACTCACAAATGTTCACTTATCCCTGTACCTAAACAATGTGCCTGTTCGTTTACACTCGGCTCTACTCTATTTATAGATCCCAGAAATGTGGAACCGCATTATCAGTGAGAATTCTAGAAAGTGGAAGGCAATAGCAAAGTATCAAGTCAAAGAAACATTCAGCCCATCTGAAAGTGACTTGAGACAACAGGCCCAGAGGTAACACTGAAAACACAGGTCTGACTGATTAGAGAAGGAACAGAGAAACGACTCAGGCGCTCTGAATAATCAGCGCTTGTTTTAACTAGGCTGGCCCAGACGTACAACTTGGATGTAATGGAGAGTTTACTTCCTGAGAAACCAAAATGTGGATCCTGTGGGAGAGAGGCCACAAAGAGATGTTCTCGCTGCCGAGGAGAGTGGTACTGTCACAGGTACTGACAGACTCTGAGCTGAGCCTGAAGGCAAAGCTCAGGGCTGTTTTAACACATGCATGAAAGTCCTGCACCTTCCTAGGACTCTGTCAGCACTACATGCAAAACACCAGGACACGACCACATGGTTATTACACATAATGCACCACACACAATAATCATAAATGCTAGCAATGAAGTTGGCCACTTCCATAGGTTACGTTGTAGGCTACAAAGATTCCCTGCAGAAGTGCACATGTGAGAGTCACTAACAGTATTAAAGATGGCCTTAACCACCATGAGCTCATTGGTTTTGGACTTTGCAGCTTTAGTTTTAGTTTTTGGTCACCACCGTTTTCATTTTTTGAAGCCAGGTTAGAAGCCAGTTACCTTATATAGATTAGAGGGTGGAGTCCTAATTTACTTTTTGCGTTTTTTTCGTTTACTTTTTGTTTTTGAAGCCAGCCTCGAAAAGCTAAAAAAAGTGTTTGTGTGAATGGGTGAATGTGGCAAGTTGTATAAAATACTTTGAGTTGTCAGGTAGAGTAGAAAAGTACCATATAAAAACCAGTCCATTTACCACTGGTAGCGAATGCGTGTCATGTGTGCTGCCTCCTGCATGCTCACGTAAACCACACAAAGTACTTCCAGTACTGCAAAGGTGTCTGAAGGGGAATAATTCCTGCAGATTACCACAAGTAAGACAAAACAAATGTGCTGCTTCTCTTTTCAAAATATCAAAAGGTCACGTGTGAGAGCGGCTCAGTACTTTCCCCCTCTCACTCATCGCTCCTAAGGTTTTGATAAAGTTGACGTAAGCCTCGCCGGGGCACTGAGAAAGAAATTTAAACACATTTGAGAAACAAATGGAGTACACAGAGGTGTGTTTCTTCAGTATTGGATGCAAAATGCATATTTTTGTTTAGAATGTGCTAAATGTCTGCGTTATTATCTTGCTGATGTATGTTTTCAGAGAGTGTCAAGTGAAGCACTGGCCAAAACACAAGAAAGCCTGCCAGCTCATGACCGAGACCACCGAGAAGATCATCAGCTGAGGGAGACCAAACGGCTCTTTCTGTGGCTGATGACAGAAAGAGAACAGTGTGTTTCCTTAGTAGCCCGACACATTTATACACAGACTCTTTTTTCTTTTATCATTAAAACTGTTGAAGAATTTAGGACGTTGTAATCAAACTGCAATAAAGTTTTAAACCTGCATGCATCTGTGTTTGCCTGTTTCATCAAAGTGCCAGGGAAGCGCTGCATCTTCTCTTTCACCAACAGCACCGTTTTGACCTTTGTATGCAATGCAGAGAAGGTACGAAGCAAAATACCACAATAACCCATTTTCCTATTGCTTTTAGGTAGAGCCACCCAGTTTGAAGCTCAGGTCTGTGATGCGTTCAGATAGTGGCTTTAGGAGTGGGGAGGGGGACTTTGCACGCCCACTCAGCTGTGCTCGGGACTCAGAAGCACCCCCTGTTTGAAAACATTCCGGATGTCGGTGCAGCTCAGTCTCATCTCTCTCTTTTTCATGATGGGCCGCTTCCTCCTGCGCCGCAGTCCGACTTGAACAGATGGGTAACATCTTGAAAGACGTGCTCCGGCTCTGCCGTGAAAAGGAGGGCCCGGGGTTTCGTTCGCTGTAAGCGGCTGGTGATGAGAAATTATTTCCAGAGATGTCGCCGAGACTGCACACCTCCGTTATTTGGAAACCTTAAGACATTTCAGCGGAAAGTTTTTTTTTCTTTTCGACCTCGGATGGAAGAACTTTTGAGACAAAGCGGTAGCCACGGGGCTGTTTTCTCCCGTGTTTTGGTGAGTTAGACTTAAAATCACTGGATTTTGTTTCACTTCGCTGTTTATGAGTGACTAGTTTAATATGCAGCTGTGTTGGGAATTAGGTTTTGAATGATCTCCCCGCGTGTGTTTTTTTTTCATGGACACGGAGCTGATATATTTCTACTACTAAACTGAACTACATTTGACGGCACATGTCATTCTTTAGCTTTTTGTATTATTGTTAGGCTTAATTCTACATGACAGTGGTTTGAGGGGGAAAATTACTAAAGTAGAAAGCAATAGTACTACTTAGTGCAAGTCTACAAATCTTCGTTGTATTTTATTAAAGTTTTAAGGTATTTGTACTCAGGGGCGTTTCCATGATTTTCTTTTTAAACAAACAAGAAAAGAGGGTGGTCCCCCAGGATTTCAAAATAAACACCAAATTAAACCACTTGAAAAATGATTGGAAGTTACGTGAGTGTGAATTATTTTGTGGACGCGCATCCTCCCTGAATGGAGATGTGGCTGACCGTCAACAGACCACAGTACCGAAACAACTACAAAGTGACAGAGCTAATAAAAAGTAGTTTGATTACAGTTACAGATATGTTTTTCCACACTGAAAGGTAGTAGGAAAGAGCAATGCCACATACAGTAGGAGAAATAATTATTTGATCCCCTGCTGAATTTGTAAGTTTGCTCCCTTACGAAGAAATGAAAAGTCTAGTCTAGTCAAGTCTTTTCACCGTAGCTTCATTTTAATGGAGAAAGACTGAAGGTCAACCAAAAATCCCCCCAAAATAAACCCCAAAAAAGTGATTTGCATGTTATTCAGTGAAATAAGTATTTGATCCCCAAATAACACATCATTTAGTACTTGTTGAAGAAACCCTTGTTGGCAAACACAGTAAGTGTGTAAGACGTTTCTTGTACTTGGTCACCAGGTTTTCTTCCCACACACACATATCTCAGGAGGGATTTTGGCCCACTCCTCTTTACAGAAACTCTCCAAATCCTTTAGGTTTCCTGGCTGCTGTTTGCCCCCTCAGTGCAGTGAAATCGTCCTGTACCCCAAAGCATAATGTTTCCACCTCCATGCTTTCTCTTCCTCCAGACACAGCAGGTCGACTTGATGCCAAAGAGCTCCATTAAGGTTTCATCTGACCGCAGCACTTTCTCCCAAACCTTCTCTGAATCACTTGGGTGTTCTTGGGCAAACTTCAAATGTACATGTGCCTTCTTGAGCAGGGGGACTTTGTGGGTGTTGCAAGATTTCAGTCCATTACAGTGTAGAGTGTTGCTGATGGTGTTCTCAGCAACTTTGGTCCCTACTGCCATCAGATTATTAACAAGCTCCTCCCATGTAGTTTTGGGCTGATCGAGCACCTTTCTCATGATCATCCTCACATGAGGTAAGATCTTGCATGGCGATCCAGACCGAAAGTTCTCACCTTCTTGTCAAGCTTCTTGCTTGTTGCTGATGTTCTTTTAGCCCTTTCCAGACCAAAGAGCCTTGGACAGCTCTTTGGTCTTGCCTATGGTGATAGTGAGTTTCGAATAAAAGAAGAAACTGATTATCTGGAGACAAGTGAACTTTATACATGTAATGACATTAAGAGTATGTTTAACTGATTGGTTGAGCGATTAATTGTCACGTGGACACACAGCCAATCCATGGAAGTCAGAGTGTGTTGTAGAAGATTACATATTTACCTTACTCAATGAGTTTCATGACTTGATACAATGTGGGGTTTTTCTGGATTTGTGATTGGTATTCTGTCTCTCTCCTTCAACATGAAACTACCATAAAAATTAGATACTGTTCATTTCTTTTCAAGCGAGCAAACTTACAAATTCATCAGTTAATCAATCAAATAATCAGTCAATGAATTGTTTCTCCCACTGTATACTCTTTTATTTATGCTGCTTTATGTTTATATTTCACTGCTTGTAAACTTTTATTCTTCTGAATTTGCAGACTTGAGATTTGCATAAAAAACTGTCCGTTTTTAAGTTATAATGCACTATTAATGGTGCAATGGTGCCAAACAGTCAGAATGCACCTTGACAATATATAACATCATTATGCTCTTTATGTGTTTAACCTAACTGTCCTACTAAGAGTACTACTAAGTACATTCATATTTGGTACCTTAGTACATTAAGCTGAATTAACACTAACTTCATGATTTCAGGTTGCACTCTGATTATACAGAGTCTGTGTTTTTTGTCAGTTAGTGATAAAAATGGAGGAAACCCGGCCCTGAGTGACACAATGTCTTGGGAGGAGTTCATCGAGCTCCGTGACCTCAGGTCGACCAAAGAGCAGATAGAGCTGACGGGGACGCGCGCTCCGTGCTCACCTCCGCGCCTAGAGAGAACCAACGCCCTGAGGATCAGCCCGGGAAGGGTCCCAGACCTACTGAGTCGTGTGGGCATTATCAGAGTCCTGAGCAGCAGCCAGGACCCACAGCTCACAGAGGAGAAAGGAGAGGGCCACGACTTCCAACCCTGTAGCCACGCTCAGCCCACGTGGTGCGACCTGTGTGGAGACTTTATCTGGGGCCTTTACAAGCAGAGCCTGCGGTGTGTCAGTGAGTTGGCTTACATATGCTTTTTGTGCATCTGGGTGTGTGCATGTGTCAATGCTTTGGTGCATTTGCATGAAATGAGCGTACTGACAGAAAGAGGAAATTTACTAACACAGAGGAAGAGGCAACCACCAGTGTACCTGCAAGCCCAGATTACAGTCATTCCAGCCTGATGGCTTAAACAAGGCTTCATACTAAATAAACATAAATGCTCTCTATGTTAACATTCTGGAAAAAATAAAGAGAATTGTTGCCTGTACAATTTTTATAATTATTCACATCTACCCAGTATCTAACCTGCATACACTTAAGGGTTTGGTTATTGTCTAGGCTGAGGTTCAGCTACACTCATATGTGCATTTGCAAAAGTTTCATTAACTGAAACCCACCTAAATAAAGAGCAGTGGTTTGTACAAAGCATTTAGTGTGGGGAAATAGGGGTCCCTTACTGTAACCTGAACAGGAAACATTGTCACAGTCTTTGCAAAGAGACATAAGCTTTCCAGCTGACTATATGTTTTCACAGCTGCATTCAGCTGATTGGAATTGCTATTTATATTTCTTCAAGTATTTGCAATTTATTTTATATAGGTGACTATACGGTCTGGTACTTACATAATGCTTTTCTACACTATTGAAGCACTGCTGCATTCACCCATACACTCGTTTGTATGCATAAGCACTTTTAATCTAAGATTCACACTCCAGTGAATGCAGCCGGGCAATTTAGGGTTCAGTATCTTACCTAAGGATATTCCAACATGCAGACCAGAGGAGGCAGGGAATCAAAACAACATTGTTGTTTTACTAAAAACAGTGAATAACTGCAGGTAAAACTGTAGTAACCTTTACCCTCCAGCAGAGGAGAGGCAATCACACTTACACAACATTATGACTTTCATTTTGCACATTCTCATGTATGGCAACATGAGTCTAAACTCTAGGACTTTCTTCATTTACAGATTGTAAATTCACATGTCACTACCGATGCCGTGCCCTGATTCAACTGGACTGCAGCTGGGAACGAGGCTCCTTGGCTGACCCCACATGTGTCGTGGAGTACACCATAGAAACGGACACAAACGTGGTAAGGAGCTGTGCATTAGGAAGCTGACAGCTGACACGGCGCCCCTTTATTACTTTACTACCACCTTTGTTCTTAATCAGCTGCGTTGCTAGTTGGTTTCACTTGCTTTTTTATGCTAGCGTCAATGTCGCAAACTTTACACCGCATAACATACATCATTTCTTAAGACCTCTGCACTCTGCATGTTATGCAATGCACTGCCTGTTTTGGATTGCATGTTACTGTACTAGATAGGAAAGAAATCAGGAACAATAACAATAAATGCACACAGTTCACACCTCTTTACTAACTGCACACGATCAACTGAAAGTTGCACCACTCTTTCAGATTTAGTTGTATTTACTCTTAGCATTGAAACTCCAGACAGGACAAACATTTCAAATATAACATTGCTCAGGGGAAGTAAAGTCTTTCAAAGGGGAAGCTTGTCTGCAGAGGAACAGAAAATGTTACCTTGAACACTTTTTGTAAAATGTGGCTTAGTTTAGTCAGTCACAAAAGTGAAATGTCAGTTTTTGAAGTACTTAAGCCTGTTGTAAAACCTATGTGCGAATATGAAACATTCAAGAAAAAAAAAACAGAGCACACTACAGCAACAAATTTTCATGAGAATCATTGTCTATTGGGCATAGCATAAAGTACAAATACAGACAGGTATTGTCCAATCTACAGCATTAGTTTTATGTCTTAGTTCAGAAAAAGAAAGCTTTCATAGCAGTAGTAGTAATAGTAGTTCTGTCTGAAGTTTTTTTTAAATACAAAACTGGTGTTTTTCCTTCCCACTGTCACCATGTTCTTGCTCATAAGGGGGGTCGTTTGATTTTGGGGGTTTCTTTGTATTATTGCAGGGTCTTTACCTTCCATAATAAAGGCCTCGAGGCAACTGTTGTTGTGATTTAGTGCTACATAAATAAAATAAAATTGAATTGAATAGTACTTTATGGATTCCTGTGAAAAAAAGTACAGCCCATGATTCAGTAGCTTGTGGAACCACCTTCAGCAGAAATAACTTGCGCAATTATTTTCTGTATGACTTTATCAGTCTCTCACATACACATGTGGGAGAATTTTGGGTCCACTCTTCTGCGATGTTTCTCACTGTTGAGGTTTGTTAGTTTATGCACAGTTGTCTGAAGATCAGACCACAGCATTTCAGTAGGTTGAAGTCAAGCGTTTGATTGGGCCATCTTGACTCTTTTTCAGCCATTCTGTTTTAGATTTGCTGTTGTGATACGGATGATGGATGGCCTCACGTTTGACTCTAGATTATTTAGGTGTGCATGGTTGACTCAGTGACTGCCCAGGTATTGTGGCTGCTGTACAAGCACAAATCATTACTCCTCCACAACCATGCTTGACAGCTGGTATGAGGTGTTTCTGCTGATATGCGTTGTTCTATTTTCGCCAGGCATGCATTGTGGCCAAACATTTCCACGTTGATCTCATCTGTCCAAAGACCTTTTTTCAAATTGTACTGTCATGAATTTTAGCATTTGACATGCTAACTGAGGCCTGTAGAGTCTGAGGTTGGAATACTTTTTATTTTGCTGAGCATTGCTCTGTCTCTGGGTGGAATTTGCTGGAGAGATTGTAGGATTATGTTAACACACACCTGAATGCTTCAGACCAGCAAACTACCAAAACATCTGCTTTTATAGAGGTCCTCAATCTTGCTGATGATCAGTTATTAAGTTCATTTGATTAGCAACACCTGCCTGCTTTTTATCCTCTTAATTTCTATACCAGCAATAAGAATGTACTTAACTTTTAAAATCTCTGAAAACTTTCCTTCTTACATAAACTGTAAGCTCAGAACAAGCAGCTAAACTATTTTTAGATTTTCCTATCATATAAGTATGAAGTACCAGGAATTAGTTAACGGGTTCAGAGAAAATCTTTTATTCTGTTTTTAATGGGGTTTTTCAAGGCCAGTTAGGCTGCTGTATTCAATAGTAGAAGAAATCCCATCACAATCTTTTTTTTTGTACCATGGTAGTATAATCCATTAAGTGGGAACTTAGTACAGTAGATATCCAGCAGAGCAGGTATCTTTTCATCATGTTAGCTGTTATTATTCACTTTATTAAGCGCCTGTTACTTATCAAAAGAATATAACTACAAACATAAACTTGAGCAAGCCGACACCAAGGCATGGCTAAAAAAACATGTTGGTATTTGAGCTTTTGTGTGCACACTTGCAGTCCTTGTATAATAGCAAAATGACTAGCTGCCAGGAAAATAACAGTCAAATTCAGAGCATTAAAAACCAAAAACAAATCACAGATATCTACTGACATTTTTGCAATACTACCATCTGCAAACTATCATTCAAATGTTTCACTCTTAGCTCAGTAAGAGTGGGCTGCTCAGGTTAATATTTTGAACTGTTAGTTAATATTTGAATAATAAAGATGACACCGAGTCATACCTGTGCTATAGACATGCACAACCAGTACATAAATGTATGTTTATTGCAGTCATATTGACTGCTTGAGATGCCTGTACACCAGTGTGCCACCACTAACTTCAGATGCACCACAAATATTTTTGTTTTTGAATCAGTCCTGGTCGGCTCAATCTAAGAGCAGTATGGAGGTTTTCTGGGTTTAGCACCGGAAAACTCATTAGTTCACATTAGCAGGTTTCAGTGTATTTCCTTTTAATACATATCTGATCATATTTACCCTCTCCTTATTGATCTCTAAATGCACAAAGATGAAAAGAGATGTTCAAAAATACTTGAATCACTGTGCTGCTTGCTCTTGAATTGAGGTTCTTCTCAGTGTTATTTCCATATAACATGTTAATACCTTATAACATAACATATTGTCTGTGAAAACTATGGATGTTTTAGGTGAACAGAGGCAAGACTTTCATAAGACTTTGTCAGAAATTGTAAAGGCTGGACAAAAAAAACCAAACTAAACAACTGGTGTCCTGCAGTTTGAATGACGGTTATTTTGTAGCAATTTTGTCAACGTGTCTGATTTTAGTTATTTGGTAGCTAGATTTAGCCACAGAATATACAAACTTTTACATAAGTCTTTTCATCTTTAGTCATTTCACAGTAACACCTCCCCTGCTGGTTTGGGAGGTTTTTCCATTGCTGCACACAGGAACTGAAAATCTGGGCTGCAGCTGGAGCAGTTTTTTTTCTCTCTTTTAATTAGTAATCTAACACAGAGCTGCATTTTCCCTAATTACTTAATGTGTGACCAGAAACTGTTTTGACACTAAAAGCTGATCTTGCTTTTAGTCTAGCTTTACAGATTTTACAATAAGATTAAACAAACCCCCCCCCCCCAACAAAAAAATTGCATTTGGTCCTGATTCGCTACAGTATGGCACATACGTTATCTGTCTGTATCAACAGCTATACTTTTTCATTCATTTAGGGGTTTTATTTTTTCAGACTGATATGCGTTTTTGAGAGAAAATGTCATTGCAACATTTCAGTGCTCGCTGTAATATATTTAGATTGCTTGTATTTTCTGAACAGCCATCAAAAAAATAAAACATATTATATCTATATTAATTAAAATCAGGGGAGGGGAAGAAAATACCCAGAATAAGCAACTGATGAATAATGTGAAACGCATTTTGGTGAAACTGACTGTGAAACAGTAGTATCATTATTAAAACAGGAACTGCCTTCCAGTCCGTGTCAGCTGGGTAGGCTCCAGCACCCCCGTGACCCTAAGTTGGACGAGTGGTTAAGAAGGTGGATGAAGTGATTTAAGGATCATGCTTTTTCATGTGACTTTTAAGGTGCTCATCATGTGGATTGTTTCATAGCTTGTACAACTGTATAGTTTTATGTTAAGGGAGGTTTGGGGTAAGTCTGTGTTCGAAATGAGATGGATTTGCAGGAAGTGGATACTCATGACAGAGTCTATTTATGCTTTTAGTGGGGGATGGGTAGTAGAAACAGGAAAGATTCTTATGGTGACTTCTTACATTTCCTTTGTGTTCAGGCACATGTCTTTTAGCTAACTGCTATACTTCCAGCCTTCTTGACATAATTACACCCCAAAAGCTGAAATAATTCTTTAGAAGTCACCAACTCATATCTTGGTATAATACAACAAATCGTCAAATTGAGCTACCAAGTTGAAACACGGGTATGTCTCAAGCCCTGTAAGCTTTTATCTATATCAGATGTTATGATGTGTTTCCTAGCAACCAGGCCTAAATGACCCATATTTAGCATTTGTGCACTTACAGTTGTGGTCAGAAGTTTACAGACTCATCGTGGGCATGAATGTGATGGTAGTTTTGGTCTTTTAATGATTTCTTTGAACAATTCTTTTTTTCCAGGGTGGAACAATTGGACAGCATTCATCTTTAATTCCTTTAAAAAAACAAGAATTGGGTGCAGAAGTCTGAATTTTGGATTTTCTCTAATCCACATGGGCTCAGAAGTACATATACAACTAAGCCAGTATTTCATTAAATGTTCCTTAGCACCTTAATGCAAAGCTTTTGGTTTCCATCAACAAGCTTCTGGCATGATTCTGTCTGACCACTCTTCTTGGTCGACTTCATTTAATTGGTTGGTTTCCTGGCACAGACGTGTTTTCAAGCAAATTTTCAAAGGGGTTGAGGTCGGTGCTTTAAAAAGGCCATTCCAGAAGCTTAATGCTAGCCTGCTTTTTCCATTGAAAAACAAGCTGTGATGTAGCTTTGGGATTATTGTCCTGCTAGAACAACTAATTCTGCACAAGTTTCAACGGTACAGCTGCTGATTTAATTTAGGTAGTCCTCCTTCTCCATTATTCTATCCACTTTGTGCAATATACCAGTACCACTTGCAGCAAAACAGCCACAGAACATGATGCTACTGCCACCGTGCTTGACCGTTTTTGTTTACTCCTTCAAACATAAGTCTTATTGAGGGCAACATTTCGATCTTTTTCTCATCTGACCATATGACTTTTCTCCAGAATGCATTTGGCTTGTCAGTGTGGGCAACTGCAAATTTCAGTCGAGCTTGAAGGTATTAGTTTTGGAGCAGGGGCTTCTTTATTGGTAAGCATCTTCTTAGTGTTCAAGCAGTTTCCAGGGCAGGCTTCAGGCTTCAGGCTTCCTGGGTTGTTTATGAACATCCAAACTATATTTCCTTTCATCTGAGGGTGAAAGTTTGGTTCTTCTTCCCGATCTTGGTAAAGTGGTGACACTAATTACAGTACAAGTCATTTAGAAATGCTTTCATGAAACCTTCACAACTTATTGAAATCTACAATTTGCCTTCCCAGACTTCTTTATTATTTTGTGTCAAGCAAATCTTTTTCATGTTGGCAAAAAACCCCAGAATAATTCAAACCCGTTCTCCCAATTCTTGTTCTTTTAAAGTAACTAAAGGTGTATCCCCACCCTGGGGGAAAAAAGGACAGTTCAAAGAAGTCATTAAAAGTCTGTGAAATTCAAAGCCATGATGAGAGTATTTTTCACAAGAACCACCTTTTAATTTTACATTTAATGGGTATATGTCTAATAAGTGTACTAGTACACCTGTTATTTTAGACCTTGTGCAGCTGACATGGTCCCTTAATCGTGAATAAATGTAAACACATTTTGCTGTATACAAACTTGTAATCAGCCCCATATTTATTTTGTATTTATATAAACAAAATCTACCAGAGGTGGTCTTTACTTTTCTCATTGGGAATATCAGTTTGCTGTAGGGCTGTAGCATAATGAATTGCATTGTGGGAGTTGTAGGCTCCAGTGTTATGGGATGGCATTTTTCTAAGAAAGTAAAATAATCAATACAGCACCATTTAAATTTTCTATTGGTCAACACTGAATAACGAGACATAAAAACATAATAAAGCTACATAACTGTTAGATACGTTAGGTTGGCATGGTAAATACAGTTTTAATATTTGTATTTAGTGCAAAAGTTAAAAAATGCTAGCAGCGAGCCCCAGCATCACATGACTGGGTCAGCGGTCCGTGGGGACACAGAAGGTCCACCAGCAGCACCCCCACGCTGGGAAAAAAGGGCAGAAAGACGGGTGAAACAGGGCTTTGAGGAGAGGAGAGGGCTTTGGTATTTCCCGTGCTGTCCAATCACTGCCGGCTGAAGCGGTTTGTGTATTTCCAAACTCAGCGGACCTGGGTGGGGCCTCTTCGGGGGAAGGAAGCGGGGCATCTAGGGCGGGGACCTGCACACATCCTGTTTCACACAGAGTTTGTACGGCGGAAACGTGGCTGGTAGGCTGAGTTTGAGGAGAAGATTCGTGAGATCTTGTTGATAGTCGTCGACATTTTTTAGCGGTATTTTGTCCTGCGCGAGATTATTTAATATTATCGTTAAAAGCTAGCACTGTTGCCGGTTAGGACTTTTTGTAAGGCATAGTTCAGTCAGTAAATTCCAATTAAGCTCAATCGAGAGCGATTCGGGGTAACAGCGTAGTAAAGTTAAAGGTTCCCGACTCTCTTATTGGATATATGCCGGTAGTCAGCATGACCACCGCGGCTAGCAGCTCGGATAAAACTCCCTCCTTTGAGATGACCTGGGGCAGCTCCACCAGCAGCGGCTACTGCAGCGACTCGGACTCTGACTCCGAGTTCGAGCAGTACTTCACCGCCCGGACATCTTTCTTCCCCAAAATCCGAAAAGATACTGTCAGTCCCGCAGTTAAGCAGGTGAGAAATTTTACAAGTTTAAAAACACATAGGTTTCATAAAAATCATTAGCTTTAAAATAAAGGGGAAGTGAAACTGTGGGTGTTTCGCAGCAGGACTGTATTCTCGCGTTATTTCCCCATTTCTGCTTATTAGCTGTCAGTGTTGGGTCTGTTATTGAGTTGTGTTTGTGTTCTTTTACTTCTGGGATGAGTTGCTGGGCGTCCTACTTTGTAGATGCTGCTGGGAATGAGTTGTTTTGCTCAAAGGAACCCCAGCAGACTAGATGGTTGGCAAGCCTGCAAGGCTCAAGGGTGGAGTTCCTCTAGTTCTAAGTAAACAGGTTAAAGACTTGTGTGAACTTTTTAAAATGCAAATGAGCACTCGTTACGTCTAGATTATACACACATACCGGTATATATGTGTCTTGTTGTAACAAGCACAGACCCACAGATGAACCTGTGACGCACTCAAGTTTCCAGCCAAACACCCACCATTCATTGACTCTCAGGTTGTTCACATTAATTTCTCAGTCACACATGAGTCATGGAGTGTTTTGGATTTCTTCATTTTCTTATCTTTTAGTCATACGCACACCCACATGGGTATCGGGTTTCTTTCCTGTGAGATGTGGGTACAGTTTACTGTAGAAATATTTGACTCTCCCTTTGCCAGCCGGCAGAGGCACAGTTGTGCATAATTTTCTCCCACCACTTATTGACTTTATTGATTTGTTTAACAGCAGCATATTAACTCTACGGCCCATGGATCTCCCTAGACATTTGCAGCTATGGATCTTTCTGGATGTCTAATTAACAATCTTTCTTAGGCAGTGTGTGGTTCAGCAGATAATTAAGCAAAAGGTAGCCTATAAGAATTCGCATTTGTTTTTTAATCTCACATTTACTGGCAGTCCTGCATCTACAATATTGGCTACTACTCCTGAGAAAACCCCTACCATGAATAATTATAGTGTAAATTGGAAGACACAAGAAAACCTGATTTTTAATCTGGCAGCCCTGCATCTGCTGGGGGGGCAAATGTGCATGACTGAAACATGACTGGGAGTTTGCGGTTGCTGAGGCAGCTGACTTCACAGGATGTGCCTGCAAAACAGAGGAGGGCATTGTCTCTCCCGCTTGTGAGAGCCTGTGAGGGGTGGCTATTTTTACATGAACACCAAGTTGAGGAATGCAGCGCAGAGCCGTTGGCCACAGTCATCATTGCAAACAGCTGCAAGTTGCAAACCCCCTCCCTTTTCCTCCCTCTTCCTCCTCCCTCCCTTCTCCCATCAGCCCTCCTACATGGAGGCATCAGAGCCGCTGAACTGGATTGGACAGAGCTGACATCATTGTGTTCGCCTCTTTTGCTGCGTTGTCCGGAAGTTGAAAGTCTGATGCAACTGGTGTTCGCTGTTAGAAATGCCGAACATCAGTTAAAACCAGCTTTTACTCTCGTGTTTCAGCAGTATTGCTGAAGAAAAAAAACACGGAAGACTTGTTTAAATCAAATTTGACTGACATTACAACTTTTTTTCCCTCCCTTGTTAAAACACCCTAAAAATGAACACTGGGCTTTTTCAACACTAATGCAGGGTTTTTCCTGCATATAATTTTTTTTTCCACGTTGACCAAAAAGATTTTGGCCAACCACCAAAGGGAAACCAACAGAACTGTGATTTTTTTAAACCAGTTGTTTTTAAATGGGGTTTAATTCACTTGAGCTTAAGATGCGTTTTAATTATCAAATGTCCAGAAAAAAATAAAAAGGCAGAAAATGTCTTAGATTTTTCTTGAGTAAGTGGCCACGGGGACATGGTCTTGTGTAGTCACCCTCTCAAAGGCTCATTTTGAGCGGGAAAATCCCTGTAATGCTGTAAGACACAATCATATAAAGGGCCTTTCCTCTGCTAATCAGTGTTTTGTCCTGCTCTCTGGCTTGTCCCTGCTTTTTTTTGAGGTGAGCACTGACACCTGGTGGTTAAAGACTGTAACTCTTCTGTTCCTTCCAGGATGAACAGATTGAATTGAGTAAGCAGGAGCTGACAGTGGTGGACATTCAGCAGAAAGTGAAGGAGTACAATGCTCAGATCAACAGCAATCTGTTCATGAACATGGTGAGCTGTGATTCTTCACAACAAATCCCTGCTTTTCCCTCCAAAGCATTTTTATCTTTTAGTTTAATATTTGTTTTTTTCCCTTTAACAGAACAAGGATGGGTCCTACACCGGCTTCATAAAGGTGCAGTTCAAGCTGGCCCGACCCGTGTCTGTTCCCACCCCAAAGAAAGGAGGCAACGACACAGGCGGGAGGCGGGCCAGCGGAGTGAAGCGGCGCACCTCTTTCTACCTGCCGAAGGACGCGTCCAAGCATTTGCACATAAGTTCTCGAACTTCGGCTCGTGAGGTCATCGAGGCTTTGTTGAAGAAGTTCACCGTTGTGGACAATCCCGCCAAGTTTGCTCTATTTGAGCGCAGCGAGCGTCACGACCAAGGTATTCTGCTTTAACATTAAATCGTGATTTCGTTTCTTTTTTTATTTAATGTGTTTGGTGATCGCTAAATGGTTTCTTTCTCCTCCAGTTTATATCCGTAAGCTGTCTGATACCGAGCGTCCCCTTCGTCTGCGTCTGTGCGCTGGACCGAATGAGAAAGTCCTCAGTTTTGTGCTGAAAGAGAACGAAACTGGCGAAGTCAATGTGAGTAAAACATAAACAGCTCTACATCCAACACGTATGGATCGTTCACCTTCAGATATACCAATTTAACTTCTCTCTCGCTCTCGGTTGCAGTGGCATGCCTTCTCCATGCCCGAGTTAAAGAACTTCCTGCGGATTCTGCAGCGTGAAGAGGAGGAACATATCAAGCAGATCGTGCAGCGCTACGCGTTGGCTCGCACTAAAATGCAGGAGGCTCTGGCTGGCTCAACGCCCGGCTGAGATGCCTACGCTCAGAGGGGCTTTAGCGTGCACCTTTCGGCTGGACGATCGCCAGAAGTTGACCGGCCATCGATGCATTCAAAGATCCCAGAGAATCCAACTCCAAACGCCTCTTGGTGAACGAGAGTGTGAGACAGGGCGCGAGACTATGAGAGAGAGAGCGCTAGCGCGAATGTGCATGTGAGATGATGTGAGAGATGAGACGTGCCTTACACCTGGAGAGTCTGATGTGCCTGAGAGAATGAGTTGAGAGAATTGACGACTGGCAGATGAGACAGTAATGTCTTTAGCTTTTGGTTACTGTAGGATTATCCTGCACCTCAGCTGTGTTATTTTTCCAGAAAACCAAAATTGGTAATATTTCAAATAATGCATTTAATCCCCTTTGCCTTCACTCAACAACCCACCATAATAATGATGCTTCTCACCCTCGGGTTAAACACATACTTGCTGCAAGGTATTTGGATTTTCACTTGACCTAAGCTCCGAGTCTGCCATGTCCTCTCTTACACCCCTGATGGGTGCAACTCTGAATTTCACTGACAATTTGTGAGTGTGACTGATGTATGGACATTTGTATGGAACTATGAATGTCTGCGAAAACAGTGCCCAAGTCACCCTGGTTGACTGGAACCTTGAATGAATATTTCTTTGGATGTGTTTAACTGGAAGTTTCCTGTCATTCCTTTATATCTTTGTTTTGTTCTGTCCTTTAAAACAAAATGTTTGTCTTCTGTCACTCTGTTCACTTTCACTGTATGGAAGTCTATGCACAAATTTACTTGTTGTAGCAATCTTAAGAATGTCGTGACTAATGTGCACTGCGTTTAGTAAAGAATTACCAAAAAATCTATTACGTTTTTGTATTTTTTTTTCTTTTTTTTACAGGTGCAGTGCTGTTTGCCCCCTCTCAAATTTTCATTATTTATTAATTTTTTTTATTGCGTATTTGTCACATTTAATGTTTTAGATCATAAGCTCATTTCAATATTAGACAAAGGCTTATCCAGGGCTGGGTTGTGGGGCCAGCAGCAAACCGAGAGCCAACTCACCCAGGAGCAATCCAAGACAGATACCCGAACCACCTTAACACTTTTCAATACAAAATGCCCCCACCCTTTTTTTAATGATGACTATATTTATTAAGGCTAAAACAAAACAAAACAACACAAACAGCTATCGAAACCAATCTGGTCCTATGTGGGGAAAAAGTAATTGCTACCTAAGCTGGTTGTGTCACCCATGGCAGCAAAAACGGCAGTGAGGAATTTGGCCCGATCTTTGCAGTATTGTTTTGGGACACATTGGAGTGTTTTCAAGCGTGAATGGTCTGTTTAAGGTCACACCAAAGCATCTCATCTGTCCTCTGAAAAGTCTTGGGAATCTATAGGATCTTTTTTTGTTCGCCCGTGGCATAGATATGCTCTTGGGACTAATTTTGATACACTGGCCACTCCTGGGAAGGTTAACCACTGTCCCAAAGCTTTAAAATGGCTTTATAGCCCTTTCCTGACTGATAGACGTCAATGATTATTTTGTTGCTGTTCTGGACAGATCTTTAAACTGCTTCCCTTTGTTAAACAAGTCTTATTTAAGTTATGTTTTGATTCGACAGGTCTGAAAGTAATCAGGGTTAGGTCAGGGTTTTGTTTTTGTTTTTTTAACGAAATGGGGGTAAATACTTTCTCACAGTACAGTGTGCATACTATACATTTTTAAATTCAGATATAGGTATGAACACCCACTTTAAACATAAAAAAGATTCATTTAACGCACCTTTGAATAAATTCTTTAGTTAAATATTGGTGACGTTTTTTCTTTAATAGTCGGTCAGATCAGCTGATCTCCATCGTCGGTCGGACAGCAACGGCCAGCGCTAGCTAAACATAGCTAGTAGTAAAAGTTATGACAGGACATGTCAGGTTTAGTGTACCATAAGGTAAGATGTTTGTCAGAATCCCGTGTATAAAGCAGCAGTGTGTTTGCAGACTCGTCTATTGTTTAACCTGCGTCTGTAGTCGGAAGCTAACAGTCTGTTAGCTTACCTCACCTAACTGTGCAGGTACCGTTAGCCGGTAGTCATTAGCCACATGTAGGTCACCACACATCAAACGGGCGCCGTTGCAAAATATTAGACGATGTACAATATATTGTGAAGCCGTGGGTGTGTTTTTAAGTAACTTGTAAGGTGTCAAGCGTTTTGAGTGACACTTAATGCGTTTAGGTTCGGCTTTTTTGTGGCCCGTTGGTTAGCTTACGGTGAAGCTACCGTAGTGTAACGTAACGATATAAAACAGACGGAACTTTTTTTTATAGAAGTGAAGAAGCCCCTTGAAATATCTCATACCTAGTAAGTCTAGTTGCCTTGTCTTTCAAGCTCTCAAGATTATACTTAGATGTTTCTGAGTTTAGCTTGGCCATTTTCTGCCAACAGAGTCCTCTGTGCACCAAAATAGAGCCAGCAGTCAGTAAGCAAACAACGTCTTAACAGCTGGCAGCTGAGTAAACAGTTCACTCGGACACCAGACAGTGAAATTTACTTATTTATGTACTTTCACTTTTCAGGTTCTGACCTTGGTAAGCAATTGAGCATCTGGCTACCAACCAGACTGAACGCTCTAATCTGAGACTAACTATGCCTTATCTCTGAGAATGGGAGGAAGTGGATCCAAAGCCAAAGGTGTCTGGCCTTTCTCAGGCAGCGGAGGCGAGTCAGGAAATGATGGGAACGAGCAGTCTCTGGCCCGGCTGAAAGGCTCTAAGAATGCAACACCATTTGTTTTTACAAGGAGAAGGTAAATAAATAATACAGTGGATATGCTGTTGAAAGGACGTTTTCTATCCCACCCTTGAGTTTGAAAATAATCCATGCACACAATACTAACACATACATTTGCTATGCAAATTACACTCGCCCTGAGACAAAATGCAAGCCTAGTTAGCAGTTCCAAAATATTATTTAAATTACAAAAACAGCTCTTGAGGAATACTGCCAAAATGGCATTTTGCTTTTGTCCTAAGTTCTTAATAAGCAAATTGCATGCCAAATATTAAAGGTCATCTTTAATTAATTTTTTGTTTTGATTTTGTTGACATGTCTTAAACTGTCATATCCCACTAAGTCATTTCTTATCCTGATAACAATATAAATCAATATAGTGCATTTATTGTAAATTCTGTGAAAGGTTTATATAATCACCACGCGGAATCACCCGCTCCAAACACTGAGTTAAACTGGCGCCGATTTCTTTTGTACATTTAACTTAAATAATCAAAAGTGAAATAATTATGGGCCTTGTGTGGAGTTACCCATAGTGACACATACTAGATGACCCTACGCATTCCCCATGACTCAAGTGCTTCCCCAAAGCCTCTGACTATCATTACTGCTCCTGTATGGTTGTATCCTGTTTAGAGATGGACCGATCCGATATTACGTATCGGTATCGGTCCGATACTGACCTAAATTACTGGATCGGATATCGGAGAAAAATAAAAAATGTAATCCGATCCATTAAATATCACGAAAGCACCTCACAAAACTTGCAACGCGCCGTAACTCACCTCAGAACGTTAGCACTCGGAGCAGTATGCATCACGTGATAGAGCAGCTGTGGCATGCGGGACCTGTCGGTGGTCTGGATAGCATTTGGAGCTTCGCTAGCAACCCGGCATTTCATCTCCGACAAAGTTATCCCCGAGAGAAGTAAAGCAAGTGTGTAAGTCCATCTCTGAATGTTTGTAAAGCATTCCTGCGTTAAGCTTAACAAGCGACTGCCTCTCCTGCTGCTACTTCAATCATGAAACTGCTTAATGATCAGCTGATCGGCTTTTCTGTCGCGAGTCCGTCTCTCTGGTTTGTTTTTGGCCCACTTTGCACCAGAAAGAGGAAACCAGCGGCTGAACAACAGCAGAACGTTTAAGCTTGATAAGCTGTTGTTAGAATTTATTTAATATTACTTTCTACTCCAGGATCTTTTTCTATGTAGCTGACGCTGGTAACTGTGCAGGGGCGGATCTAGCAAAGTTTAGCCAGGGGGCCGATAGGGCATGAACAGGGAAAAGGGGGCACAAAGACATACTTTTCTTTCTTATTCTCATTTAAAATGTCTAGCTTTTAATAAATAATTATCCAAATCTTACACCCAAAGTTTTAATCTGATGTAAAAGGAATAGAAGTCAATTACTGTATATAGTAACTATTAAGTCTAATATATACCCTAGTAAGCTATAGTACTTTTTCCTTTGGGAAGGTACTATCTGTGCAGTCTGCAATTTTGTTGAAGAAAGATGTTGAATCTATTTAATATTTCTTGAAAAATAATTGATTTCTGTGTATTTTTTTCACACTGCATCAAATTAAGGTTGATTACGTCGATTAAGCATCATGAGGTGGAGCGTGAGGGGTGGTTCCCTATTTTTTATTTATTTATTTTTGTTGTTGCTGGGAGTTGGAACCCTATTAGTTAGGTTGCTTAATATTTACGCTAAGTACTCTTTAAAATACCAGAATAGGGAGGATGGTGTAGGTTTAAGTTTATTAGATTGATCAGTATTGCTGAACTATGAAAAAAAAAATTTTTTGCATACAGGTATAACAGAATAGCTTTAGTGTAGTTGTTGTTTTAAACTTGAGTATGAACTTATACAAAATGCAGCAAGATATTTAAAAAACAGTTTTGTTGATTAAAAAACACTATATCGGATTCATATCTGTATCGGCAGATATCCAAATTTATGATATCGGTATCGGTATCGGACATAAAAAAGTGGTATCGTGCCATCTCTAATCCTGTTGTCAGGATAATAGCCTGTCTGAAAATATCGACTGCAGATTGTTCAGTTTTGGATGAAGTGCAATGTTAAGCTCATACACCGATGTGTTGTTCGAATTGTTCACATATCTGTTGTTGCAGCATAATATGTTACGTCGTGGATTTCCTCCAATACTTTGGCTCGACACTTGTAATATAAATGAGATAAACAGACTTGTGCTAAGTGCTTTTGGTTGGGGATTGTATACCTTAAGTCGAGTGTTTTGACCAATGCACAAAATCTATTTCTAGATATAAGTTGAAATGACTGCCATTATCTTTGTGAGTCTTTATTATGTGGTGTACCACAGGCAAGAACTTGTTCCAACATTTCAGTCTGAGGTTTATTAACACTTGATGGCTCTCTTTTGTTTCCCATTTGTAAATTCTCTTTGTGCTGTGTAGAAAAGTTTTGTTGTGTGTTGCCTGTGGTGGGCACCGGTGGTCCACATCAGACTTTTCATTACCAAACCATGTCCATTTTACAGATTTAACCCCCACATTTAGGAATGAGCTCTGCAATTTGTTTTGGCTGGTCCTTCTGGGATGTCATGGTGACTATTGCAAACCATCATTTAAGGCAGCGAAAAAATTCTGTAGTAAAAGCAATAAACAATAGTGTATAATATGAAAATGATAAACGTTTTAATATTGTCATCTCACATATTTCATTGTATCACAGAGCCCTAAATCAAAGAATAGTAATTATGCACTGCAATATTTGCAGCTCTGTTACCGAAACCTATTTAGCATAACACAACAGTGCCATGACAAAGAGGAAGGGACATAACTGAGTCATGTGCTAACACTAGGGGTGTGTTTTCCGATCTATTTTGATTAGATCGAGTGTGTCATTTTAACTGCAACCCTTTTACCCGTATTAGCAAAGTAGAAAAAAATAATTTGAAAGCTTCCTTTCATTCTTTTATTTATATACAGTGGTCTGAAAAAGTGTTTGTCCACTTCCTGATTTTCTATTTTGTGTGTTTGACACACCTAAAACTTTCAGATCATCAAGCAAATGTAAATATTAGACAAAAATAACACAAGTAAGCACAAAATGCACTTTCTAAATAAAGTTTTAATTATTAAGGGGGGAAAAATCCAAACCTGCATGGGCCTGTGTGAAAAAGTGATTACTCCCTAAATCTAATCACTTGTTGGGCCACCCTTAGCAGCAACAGACTGCAATCAAGCATTTGTGATGCCTGGCAAAAAGTCTTTTACAGCGCAGTGGAGAAATTATGGCCCACTCATCTTTGCAGAAATCACCCACATTGGAGGGTTTTCAAGCATGAACCACCTTTTTATGGTCATACCACAGCATCTCAATCGGATTCAGGTCACACCACTTCAAATCACTCAAACTATATTTACTTGCATGGAGTTAGCATGCATATAACAGAAACACGTTACAAACCTAAAAAAATATTAAACCACATTTCTGTGGTTCTTGTCACATTCATTCAAGTTACCATATTCTTTTTATATCATCTAATCCTAGATGATTTTCTTTGCTCACAAGGGTTTAATCTATTGACTTTGTAATAGTTTGAATAACTGTATGAGAGGTTTATTTGAGAGGAAGATTTGAAAATAAATACTAAAATGACTTTAAACTGAAAAGTTGGGCAAAGCAGATTCTGAAAGTTGCTTAAATTAATATAAGTTGGGTCTTATATGAAGTTGAATGAATAGTCACTATCTTTAATAAATTCTTGAGTGTTAAATTAAATTATTTTTTTGTACTTGATGACAAAGTACACAGCAACTAAAATAGCTCAAAAAGTGGATCTTTGATGCCTGGGCAGATCTGATCAGCTGATGGTTTACTATTTGTTATTTTTAAATACATACCAGAAAACTATAAAATAAAGGATGATATTAAAAAAGAAATTACATTTTTATATAATTTTTAAAGCCTGTTTTGTCCTCCATTTGTAGAATGACCCTTATCTACTCACCCATTCAAATGCCTAGTACTACCTAGTAGCATATTTTTTTTGTGCCAGAGTGGCATTTGTGCATTTACAGTTTTATAGGCCACACTTTACTTTATTACTGAAATATTGTCCCACTTTAAACTGTCCACAGTAAGGTTTCTAGATTATTCTTGATTTCAAAGCCAATAATTTTATTCCTAGTGGGGTTAAGCATTAATGTCAAAATAATCCAGTAAATAATTTTTGTCACATTTAAAAACCCAGACAAACCAAAAAGGCACATTAATAAATACATGAGGCTCAAACGTTGGAGGGGAGTGAGAAATTTGGGTGGGAGGGGGGTTTGTTGTTGTTGTTGTTGTTTTTTTTGTTTTTTTTAAACTTGACAACCGTTTTAGATGCGACTATCAGCAAGCAAGTAACGCCTACACCTCCTCTATGTTAATCCTGACACAATTGTCCACCTTCTGTGTTGGCAGTTCTTTGTATTATGATGAGGACGGTGACCTCGCCCATGAATTCTACGAGGAGACGGTCGTGACAAAAAATGGCAGAAAGAAGTCCAAGTTGAAGAGGATCCAGAAAAATCTAATTCCACAGGTGAGCTAGGAACACGCTTTTGCAGTGGCAGGGCGATATAGGGTCAGTGCCATCACTCCTCCTCCTTTTTCTTTTTCCTTTTTCCAGGGAATTGTGAAGCTCGACCACCCGTGTATTCATGTCGATTTCCCCATCGTCCTCTGTGAGGTGTGACACGTTGCACAGTGACCGGTCTACAATGACGTGCAGCCACAGATCCTCTTTGCTGAGCATCATTCAAGTCTCGAGAGCTGCAGTCAAGAACTGCCGAATGGGGCTTGCAGAGGAAAAAGGAAAATTCAAACTGTCACATGAAAAATGATATATTGAATTAAATGTTATACATTTGAATTCAACAAGTCTTTATTTTGACATTCACAAAAATAGTGATGATACAAGTTGTGTTTCCACTACCCAGCTGATATGTATGCAGACTTGGAGAATACTTCGGATGAATTCGTGTTTCTCCTGTTGAGTTTTTTTTTGTTTGTTTTTTTTAATTTTGCAGGGCAAAACATCTGTGACGTGAAAAGGGTTTAATGGTTCATGCCTTCTGTGAGATGTAGACTCTGTATGTGTCTTTGTACATGTGCTAGTTTTGGGTTCATGTGTGAACTACAAATGCAAGATGTATTTGCAGGGTGGGAATGATGAGGGATTGTGGAATTTGTATATATTTATGTTCTGTATTGTCACGTCTGAGTTAGTCTGTTATTGGCGCTCAGACCTGCACTAGTGAACATAATGTACTGTAAATAACATCAGATTTCTTAGTTGAAAATACTTGAATAAATGGTTTATTGAGCAAAATCACTCAAATCTTCTTTTTTTTGTGTTATTTTTCATATTGGCTGAAGCTTTCTGGTGCAGTTCATCTTGTTTATTGTTACTGCACTGGGATGTTTGACCTTACAGTGCAGAATAAAAAGTTAGACACCGGAAGACCGTGTTCTCATTTATCATATTAGGAAGTGAAGTTCTTCCCCTTACATCTGAGTTTAGGTCCTGGATTTACACTAGTGTGCAAAAAGTCTTTAGTCACCCTTCCTTTCTTTGTATTTTGCTGGGAAAATGGGAAATCGGTGCAGTGATTTATTGAAATTTGCAGACGTAGATGGAAACACAACATACGAGGTCAAAAACAGTTTTTCCACAGTTTTAACAAGCTTGAAAATCAAGATTTGTTACAACTACTTTTATTTTTCCACACGGCCTAAACTTTTGCATTCAAGCTTTATTCTTCAGGAATAGTTCTCCGGGTTTATTGAAGGACTTTCAGAGTTTTGGTTTTTGGCTCCCTTTTGTTCTCTGTTGATATGATCCCACACTGCTTCATTAATGTTGAGGTCCAATCCATGGTTGAGACTTCCACTGTATGTTTTACTTTCCAGGTGTTATGGCAGGTCATTGTCATCCTGAGAAATGAAGCCTTTGTCAATCAAATGCTTTCCATATTATTTTGCATGGTGGATCAAAATCATATGTATTCACTTCCATCAGTTTTGACGAAGATCCCCAACACAACTGGCTTAAATGAAGCAAAAAATCACGACAAAGCCTCTACTGTATCTTATAGATGAAGTTGAATGACCTAGAGAAAAACCTGGAGAGCTGTTCCTCTAGACCACGTGAAAAAAAAATACAGAAATGTCTGGTCCATTGATGTAAAATATGAAGAAATGAGGCCTGACAACAATTTTTTTCACACTACACTACAAGGAAGATTTTGTTACTTTAGTATTCTGGTAGCCAGTCATGATTCTTACATGGCTTACATGAGTGTAATGTGGTAACTTGAGACTTGTTGGCGTCTGTGAAATAGGAAACATCTTGTGTTTTGTACTACAGTAAAAACATTATTTTTTTGGTGTCTGTGGACACAGAACCGGTCGTGCTTCTCTTTTCTAAGAAAACAAGTAAAACTAAAATGTCAAGCTATTTCTGTGAACTTTAGAAAGCTAACAGCAATTTTTATTTTTAGCTGAAGAGGAAGTAGACAAGATTGAATTGATTTTATACATGTTCGCAAGAAATCCTTTAAGTTGCTAACTATTCAGAAAATATTAAGTGAAGTGCAGGTTGCATTCAACCAAATGGTGACTTTTGAATGTGGGGTCAGTGATCCCTGTACTTGTGAAACAGCTGTAAGCGTAACCCTGGCATCTCCAGATTCTGGCTTATATTTAGTTTTCCTCGTCACCTTCTTGAATTTCTGTCTGGCCGTGCTTTGAGGCTGCCGGTGAAAATCAAACTTCTTTTTTTCCCCCCTTAATTTTTTTCTCCCATTTTTATAAAAAAAAAAAAAAATCTAAACTCAAGACATCTGCAACATAAAAGCCACATTTCCTCTAGATGGCAGCAAAAAGCTATACCTGCTTTAACTTTTTTAAATCATGCATATTTACTTCTTTGTGTGGAGTTTGCTTTCCCAAATAGATAAGGATGAAATTAAAAGCTCAGCCTCAGATCGTGACAGGTTTTGGTTGTTGTTGCCAGCTGGTGTAGTATCAACTTTTAATGGCGATGTAAACATATTTCACTGCGCTCAGATGACAAATCCCCACAATAAATGGGTAGGGCTTCCTTTGCAGGCATTCTCTGGTGTCTGTAATTGTGTGGAATGCGGTCGGAGCGTTTCGAGGCCAAAGGTCAGCCCCTTTGATGTGTTTCCTCTCCATTGGTCTTTGATGTTTCGCTTAAAGGATGAACGCTTTCCTGTAAAGTCATAAAAAATGCACTAAGTTCATGAATATGACACCAAATAGCAGCGCTCTGATCTGCGTAATGTGCTCTCTGATGTATGCAGTGTGTTTATACGGGGAAAAGTTGTCCATGGGGCTGAGGCTGAGAGAGGCAGTCACTATAAATTATCAGCAGCCTTGAAATACAACTAAACCATACTTTGAATTATGAACAGTAAAATAGATATATTGTTTACATGGGAGTAATTTAACAAGCTGTAGTGCTTTAAAGTAAAACAAAGGCGCTTACTGTAGCCATTTTTGTGCTAGTTCTCACATGGATTCTGTTACATTTGACTGTGTTACAGTGAGATCATATGTAGTCGAGGAAACTTGGTGGTAATCTCCTATTTTTTCTAGTAAAGCCACAAAATAAGGTTATAGTTACAAATGATGTAATGTATGCACTCCTCAGAGACTGAAGAAGATGTTTGGCTGTTACAACCATTTATAATTCCTCAGTTCAAATTTACCAAGTCAGAGCATTACCCCAAATGTATCACAATTCATAAAGTGTTTGGGACAAAAAGTGAAGATAGTAGGGTGTGTTGGCAGTTTCCCTGCCATTGTTTTAGCTTCCTGACGATCCCTGACTTCAGCTGATGTAATGTTCAGGAGGCAGAGGTCAAAGGGAAGCCGAGAGTAGACGGAAATGAAGCCATTCCTTTGTTCCTTTCCCTCCCTGTTCATTCACACGGGTCTGTCCGTGGTCCACTTTTTCCTTACTCTGCAGAGCCCTAGAGAGAAGCTGATGACATGGTGAGGTGAGTCAGCAAAGTTCAAAAGCAAAACAAGCGGAATGGATTTTGGCACAGGAAACCAGAGAATTTCCAGGCTCCCCCACCTCTTCCTAGTCATGTGCTCAGGGATCTTTTAGTTAACATGTATCTCCTGGGGAAAATGTTACCTTTTCCAGGAATGCCGTGTTTCAGATCTTATTCATTGAGTACAGACGTAAGCAAAAGCTGTACCTGTTATTAGAAAATCACCTTCAAGTACAGCGCACATATGGCTTCCCCAATTTTTCCAAATCATCCCAGGTTGTTAAATTTAGGTAATTACGTGTTGGTACATGGCCTTTACTATCTCCTCTCCACTGCCATATCTACTGTGCTTGGCAACATGACAGTATGTGGTACTCGGTTCCTCTGTTAAGCCCTCGCCAGTGGCTGTCATCACATGCTCCAGGCAGCAGTGAAATCTGTGTGCCAGATGCCTCTTGCCCACTTTCTGAAGTGTGTTCAAGACATTCAAGTCTGCATGAGTGGAAGGAAACTTTAAAATACTTAAGTACCAGCAACCAAAAGACTTGAGATAATAATTTTTCACTAGTCAAATAAAAAGAAGCTTTGAAAAATACACCACTGGTAAATTTAAAAAATATATTCATCAGACCAGTGAGATATATATATCTCAAAGGTAAATGTTATACCTGTAAACTGAACTGCACATGAAAGATGATGCACTGTGTAGCCCAAACAACCAAACTGTAAATTTATTAAAACATACTGTTGACATAAAAAAATCACGTTTTCAGAAGAGTCTGTGGAGTCCATTGAAAGATTAAGTAAGGCTAAGTAGCAGCCAGGTGCTACTAATCAAATGCACTTGATTAACTGATTATCAGCAAGCATGAGAACCTCTATAAAAGCAGAAACGTGGACAGTTTGCTGCCACAGTCATCCTAAAATCAAATCCCTCAGCAAATTAATTCTATTGGTCAGACTGTGCAATCCTCAGAGAAATTTCAAAAAAAAATTTCAGATTGCATCTTAGACTCTACAGGTCTCGGTTAGCATGCTACATGTTAAAGTTTACGGCGCTACAATTAGAAAAAGACTGAACAAGTATGACTTGTTTAGAAGGATTCAAATCACAAGACTTGGACATGCTGTGTCCTTTGTGTCCTTTGGGCATATGAGATCAAAGTGAAGATGTCTGGCCATAATGAGTGCTGTTTGACAAAAACCAAAGCATACCAGCAGGTCACCATAGCATTTCAAAGAGGAAAGATCATTTGGAAGAACCAAACATGATTTATTGAGATAGAGAAATTAATTTATTTGGCAGTTAGACTTCAATGACCCATCATGGCAGGATGGATTCCCAGAGGTGACAGGATTTAGGACAGGACTCCCCAGAGCCTGAGGTGGAGATGGGGAGGAGGTATGAATGCATGAATGAGAATCTGAAAGGGAGAATGATGGAGAGCACAGATTTAAAACATGCAGATTGGAAGCTGATTGGGTCAAAGAAGGCGGGCCGGAAGATGATTGGAATCGAGTAATGATAACAGAAATGAGTTTGGCAATGTGAGAAAGTGGTTATGAAGTACAGACCAGAAGCGGCCAAACACTCAGAAAAGGAGGCAGATGAATGATTACAGATATTCTGTACTGAACTTATGGACGACCTTCATATGAGCACAAACACCTCATACCAACTGTCAGCACGGTGGTGCCGGGGTGATAATTGGGGCTTGTTTTGCAGGCATAGGACACTTTGCAGTCGTTGAGTCGACCATGAACTACTCTGTATACCAAAGTACTCTAGAGTCAAATGTGAGTCCAACAGCTAAAATTTGGCTGAAACTGGGTCATGCAACAGGATGATGATCCCACGCACAGCAGGAACTCTACCAGAATGCCTGAAAAAGAAAAGAATCAAGGTGTTGCAATAGTCAAAACCCAGCTGTTTATCCGCCTGAAATGCTGTGGCTGGACCTCAAGAGAGTTGTGCAAAAATGAATCTCTGGAAACATCAACAAACAGAAGGAACATTGTAGAGCAGAGTGGGTCGAAATTCCTCCACGGAGATTAGAGAGACTGATAAAGTCAAACAGAAAACAAACACTTCACGTTACTGCTGCTACAGGTGGCTCTACAGGCTACTGGATTCTTTGGTGTACTTAGCACATTTCCAGTCTTACTGAGTGCTCAAAGAGATTTAGATATATCATGATATCATTCTCTTGGTACATTTTACTGTGTACAGTATAGAGCAGTTATGACTGAACAGCTTTGGGGTGTTTCTACAGTATTACCACCTTAAGCAAAAGATTTGAATATTTAA